ATTCCACTGACTTAACTATTTGATTCAGATATTGAAAAAAATACGTTTTGTCAGTTGAGACGGCAAGCACGAGCTTTGAACTTTACAGACAAGATGCACACACACACACACTAAATGTTATCTAGCTATAAGGAGTCCTTCTGGACAGCTCCTAAACAAGTATAAAAAAAAAAAAAAAAATCTTATTTTGTAGTTGTTTGGTCTTAAAGTCTGGCTTTAAGATCACAAACCCCACCCCCTACCCCTGGAAATAAAATAATGGGGTAGGAGGAGGTCATTATCATGCCCAGAGGTTCACAGACACCCCCATCTCTCAAATACTGCCTCCTGACCTATAAAAACCAATTCACACTCTACCCCTTTTATTTTTGACCATGCACTTTCCTTGATCTCTGACTTACGTCACATGTGTGCTGGAGATTAAGATCGTCTAGACTCACAGACCTCTGTCAGGCCTTAAGACCTTCTTGCGGACTCCCAGCACAGCCACGCGGGACCTGCCTGGCTACACAGAGCAGTTCCCTGTGGAGCGGCAAAATGCTTTCTACAGTCTTGCAAGCTGCCAGCAGGATGGCGATCACAAGATCCACCGCCTCGTATCACAACCCTTTTCAGATATTTTGAAGAGCCCCGGGGAAAGTATGAAACGGAGCAAAAGAGAACCTGGCTGTTCTTTGCTGCCTTAGCTGTCTAGCGAATCTTCACCTCTCTGCATTTGGGCACCTTTAGCTCTACTGCTCCTTCTTGGATAAGTGGCATTTTGAGGCAGGAACACATGACTGTCAAAACAAATGTCACATAATTGTTCTGTGACAGAACCAGTCACAGTCTTTGAACAATTCAGAGAAGATCCAACTGCATGGGTGGATGCAGTATTCCTCCCGTTTGAAGCCTTTTGCTAGCAACAATGCTTCCAACTTAGCATCGCAACTACATGCAACCATGGCAAGCTAAAGCAGCCAAAAAGCAGAAATACAAAATCAATATAGACAAGGGTTGCTTATAAAAAAAGAAAGAGCTCCTTGAAAAAAAAAAAAAATTAAAAGAGATTATTTTTGTCATTCAATTGTAGGTGAATGCAAAAAAGCACCTTGCCAAACGCTCTCCATTTTGTCCCAAGCAATATATCACTTACCTTTTGGTATGCTTCTCTAAAAAAATAGTAAAGTGATTTGATTCAAGCTATTGGGGCAGGAAGCCAACACCATGTTTTGAAATTACTTTCAAGACTTCCAGAAAGTACTGGAAGCTCCCCACATTTACAGAAGCAGCTGCGAGCTAAAAAAATGAAGCTACATGAAAATGTAGTGTAATCTCAAGGCTATATATAATTATATTATTAACATTTCTTAGTATTTTTAAACTCATTTTCTAAAACAAAGATTTTGTAGAAATCACAGGAAAAAGACACAGGGTATTTCACAGCTCACAATGGCTCCTGGCCCAGACTGCTCCTGCAGGTGGGAAGACTGAAGAGCCTCAGGCTCTCACAGCAGGAGTGTGCAAGTACCCTCCTCAGAAGAATATACATGTATTTTAGTGAATTTGAGACCCGTTTTAGTGAATTTGAGACCTATTTATTACCTACATTTAGTCTACCCACATTACAAATTTTTCATAACTCCATCTTCTGTCACAGTTGCTACTTCTATATAACTATAGCTATTCTTAAAACTTTGGGGAGTTTTGACAATTTAATAAATCATCCAGAACGTCAGGTGCTTATATCAGAGCTGTGAAGACATACACATTACAGTCACTGCTACTGATAGACAGATTGCCAGATCCTTCCTGCCTGACACATTATTCTTCAAAGACCAGCAGAACCAGAAGTAACTGGGTATGTTTTTCATCTCAGGTTTACAAAACAGAAAGAGCAGAGGGGAGAGCAGGCTATATGCAACAGAATGGTCACTGCCATCACCAAGCCCTCTGTTTTCTACCCTTGTCAAACTATACTGCCTGTAAGCAGTAAGCTCTTAAACCAAAGAAAAACAGTGGAGACACTAAGCATATACATTTGATGACAAAAAAGCAGTGCATTCTTTCTTTATGTGCTAGTTTCACTGTATTATTTGTCAAATGCATTTTTAGCACTGAATGTAACAAACTTCCCTGGCCCACACAGAAACATTACTGAGCTAGAGCTAATGGGCACGTGAAAGGTGATGGTGATATTTCTCAGGAACAAGGATAACTACCGAAAAGGAATTGTTACTTGAAGGCAGTTCAAACACTATTTTTGCAGCAACCTGTAACCAACAAAAAAGGTACAGCAGCTTCTTCAGACCAAATATGAGATGGGCCCTGAATATGAACTCCCGGAGACCTTGTCACCCACACACCTGATCTCTGCAGTAATACCATCTTTTAGAGAAGCAGCAGTGGTCTTCAACAGAAATCTCTCAATCAATGGCATATTAAAAAATCAAAAAAATTAAAGAAGCAACACCCAGAAGGTAACTATTTCATGTAGTTCATTTCCTCCCTTTTTATGTCTGCCTAAGGTTTGTTGAACATACCAGACAACTTGTTACTTTCTATGCACTAATTTGTAGCAGAAGACTATTGTAGTACATTTATATAAGCATAAAAAAATCTGATAACTGAAGTTGCTACAAGAACTTGAAAGCTAGAAAAGCAACATGGTAGAATGTGAAGCACACACTCATTTTAGTTAGGAAAGGGTCCACTAAAACAAGAGTTTTATCCTATTTAAATTCAAAAGGAACTGCAATTTTATTTTCCCAAAGGTATTTTTGGAAGGAGGTATTTGCATGGAGAACTCAGCTACTGAAATGGGAATATATCACCATCCTGATGTGTCATCATATCTGCTCTTCACAACAATGGAAGACTCACAGTAGTACACTTGATAAAATTTGAGTAAGCCAGTGTGCATGTGTTACTAAGATAAAACCCTCAGTGATAAATCAGAATCATTACCATTTTCGGTAGCTCAAGATCTTCACTAAGTTTTTTTCAGCCCCTAAGCATTTACTACACAATATTTACTTTTGAGGGCAATTTTATTTTAAAATGACTTTATCTTCTAAAACAATTATACAATTATATATACAAATTAAACAATTATATTGTTTTACAGTGATAACAGCTTCTAAAAGTCTACAGGCAAAAAATACAGCCAGTCACTCTACACTCATTAAGAGATTTGTTAGTACATCTAAAACTCTTTTCCCTGATGTTACCAAGTCTTTCTAGCTGTAAAGCATTTGAGGATGGGAGCAAAGCACGAGCCTTACGTGCCACTTATAGTATGTGAAACATTAATTCCATTTCAAGACGAGAGATGCAAGAGCAGCGACGCTGCCCCACCAAAAATCTGTGCGATTGCTTTGCACTGCCCACAGCAAAAGTGAGAAGCTTTTCAACACAGAAATTTGCTGCTTTTGAAGGTCAAACATTTTATCAGTAAAATACACAAACTGGCCAGTCAGGGAAAATATTTTAAAGCAGTTCAGTGTTTATATTGAGAATATTTTCCAGTATCAGCTTTCATTAATCTGTTACTGCCCAGTATTTCTTAAGAACTAAACAAAGCTACTGTCTAGTAACACGGAAACAATTAGACACAAGCAGAGAGCCAAGGTCTTGAAAAAGGCCATATGCCTCATTTTCTGAAGATGGCCAGAATGAGACGTGGTACTTCCCATTTCACGCTGAGATCATCTATATCCTAATTATATTATCTACTTCACTTAATTACAGGCTGTTTTCACTTAGTGGTAAAAATACTAATTTAAAGGTTTAGTTAGGGAGTATTTTGGTTCATCTGAATATCTGCCATTGAGTTTTCCCCAAAATGAAGTCAGCCATTCTCAATGTAAATAATCATTTTTTAAGCACATAATTTTAAAAATAGCACTTACTCAAATACAAAACAGTGCAGATACTTGACATAATGTTCTCTAGTTACAACTTCTACAAGAAAGTCAAGTCATCCTGTCTGAAAAACTGTGTAGTAGGGAAATAAGTTCCTTAAGCATTTACCTGTGTTTCTAATAGACTGGGCTGATAGAACATCTTAGATTAACTGGAAAGTCTAAGATATTTATGAGTGATTCTCTATACAAGTACCTCTTACAGATACATCACAACAGTATCTTCTTTGTTTCTTAAGAACACTGGTCATCCAAATAATCCTTATTTTAAGGAAAAGTAAACCCAGTACACACCAGATTCAAGAGATTCATTTTTAGGATAGCTTTGAAGGGGCCCTCTAAAATTTGTTTTTTTTTCAATTTTGTCATTGAAGTTGTCGCAGCTTCCTCAGACTCCTAACAGTCATCTTCCACACATTCAACAATTTAAAATATTTCCATGTTAAGCTAGTTTTCCTTTTGCTTTACAACTTTAAACAATCTACCACACTCTATAAAGGCAAGGAATCTTTCACCTACACCTTTGCAAGAATTATTCTATGTAAAACTTTGTAAGACCATTGTATACTTTGAGTAGGACTAAAAAGCAGCACAATATACAACTCATTCTTGTTGCAATCCTTAATTTCTTCTAACAATGTTAACATCAAAAGCAAATACCTAAAGTAGTTAAATAAGTTAATTTTAACTTTTACTTCATACAGTCAAAAGGTGTACTAATCCTGTATCAAGCACTGTTTTGGCTATAAATTTATACTCCATCCAATGCCTTGTGTGCTCTCTCTCCATCACAAGTTGGCTAGCTGTCTTCTACATATAAGGACTAAACCTCACATTTCTGAGTGTTAGCAATTCTGTGTCATTTCCTCATTAGTAACTACAGCAATAAAATTTAAACCTATGCTTGTATTTGGCATTGTTATTGCGAAGTTTTAAAAATAATCCTAGGATTACTTTATGTTATGGCTACCTCGTAGGATAAAAATTATTTTGTTAGAATTTCTAAAAATATGATAACTTTCCACTCAGCCAAAGTTGGGAGAGCTATGTTATTTTCTCAGATGATAAAAAGCAACTTCTATTGGACATTTTTCTCACCTTTCCTGTCTGGTTTGAGGTTCCGATCCACTGGCGGTGGCTCACATTCTGCAACAGGTACTGACCGTCTGGGAGGGGTCTTTGGACTGGACCTGAAACCCATGTGAGCAGGAGGAGGGACTTGCTTTCCAAATAACGGAAAATCAAACGTGCCTGGTGTCATGGGTACATAGTTTGTTTCCTGGATGGGTTCAGTGAAGCTGCTGGAATGCTGTCGTGGAGGAGAGTTGGGATTCATTGGGACATAATTTTCATCTAGTTCTTCACTTGAAACACTTCCCACTGTCAACATGCTTCTGTTTTTCTAGAATTAACATATATTTCCTTTAACAAAATAAGTTATGCAATCAGCTGTGAATCATATGAGTTTTAACCTAATCTACTCAGATTAATATACTGTACTGAAACAAAAAATCACAAACACCACATAGCTTGCCTTTTTACATGGGAACAAAGAACATTTATGCACTGTCACTGTTGCTTCTCATCAGATCAAGTCATACTTACAAAGTGGTTATGGAAGCCCTCCAATGAATTAGATCTGTCATTCGGAAACGTTCGTGGAATATCATAACAGTCTTGAGAACTAATTTCTAAAGAAACAAGAAGAGAAAGTGGCTATTTATCATCTCTGTTCCTGTCACTTGGCACCAGGCATCCAGAGTCTGTTGTTATTTACTGTCTGCTTCTGAGAGCACACAAGCACACCTCCTGAAGCTGCAGCCCATAGATTTTATTTATATACTTGAGAGGACTGTGTTCACAAACAATCTTAGCACTTATCAGTCACAACTTGAAGCTCTTATAGTGGTATTTTCCCATGTCAAGAAAAGAAAAAGTAATTTCTCCTTTTAAAGAAGCAGCAAAGTCTTCCTTTCTTCTAAACAGGCAGATGAACGAGTGGGTTTTGAGATACTGGGCCCTCATGAAAAATCTATTCTAAAATAAACAAACAGCAGATGTAGTTTAGGGCCTGGAGTAAGGTTTTCTGACCAAATGCCATTCCCTTGGAAAGTGCTGATTCAACAGGATTCAATCTGTTGCAGGAACAGGTGAATCCCTGCCTTCAGCTCCCCAGCATGGTCTCTAGGGGCTTTCAGCTTGAACAAACTGCTACAGAACTGAAGACCTCTCCATTTTCAGGGTCCTGGCTCTTGGCAGTCCACATTAAGAAGGTCCTCAGCCTTGCGGCTCTGGTGGACAGGGGTTTTTGTGAAACATCTGGCTCCCAGGTCCTGCCCGTGCATGCAGGTGATAAGCTGCCTTACCCTGCAACAGGCATGCTGCTCCTCCTGACGCCAAGACAGAAACTGTGGGCAAATTCTGGGTTTTATTCCCACCTTGCTCAGAAAAAAAGCTCTTAAGTTTTTTTGAGATTTCCACTTCAGAGGAGAAATAAATACTTCTGCTATTAAGAGTTAAATTAAAACAGTATTTTCAGAAAGGCTACTGCTCCTGAGGCTGACAATCTCAGTTTTAGTGTAAGAGTACTCGCTTATAAAGTTAACAAAATGTGAGAAGATGCAAAGTGAAACAAACAAGGGTCTTTCAGGGTGCTACTTTGTCATTTTAAAACACTAACAACCATCAATATTATTACACTTAGCCTACTAAATGAATGACAAACAGGGTAATATTATCTGAGCACCTGTATGATGACATCCATTCTGTATATCATCTCCTCTAAAAGCCCTGTCTCCATCCTCTTCCTCATTTCAGCCTCCCATCCCATACCAACCATAACACAAACAATTCTCCTTTAAAATCCCCTTTAGCATTAGCATTAACTCTTAACCAGTTTAAAATTTCACTTTAAAAATAACACTGTAATGCCCACCTGCCTCAGGAACCTGAAAAAAATTAAACTGTTAGCCCAAGAGTGGTTAGCAAGACTACAACAACTGCTCTCTCTAACAATATTGGTTTCCCAATCTCTACCTCTCGTTGCTTTTTTCGAGTTTAAATCTGAGAAAATAAGAACAGGATAAAAAATCAGGCAAAAAACCCCCCCAAACAAACCAAGAAACAACAAATTATTTAAGTAAAAGTAGCTCTAAGATTTGCTAGGACCTGAAACAAACCCAGCTGCTAAAGGAAAAACAGTAAAAAAACTGCACTAGCACATCTGGATACCAACATTTAAGTGACTATAAGGAACAATTTTAATTTTCCTTAAAAACTGCAGTATGCATATCTATCACAAGGAGAGAAATATAGGTCAGTGGCAGCCATCACCAAATCATGGTTGATGTCAAAGCTCTGGGTATAACACTAAGTCCTACTGACCTTCATCAACCACTTTCAGCTTCTGCAGATTTGGAGCACTATCTGCTGATGGCAGGGGGGTTGGAACTAGATGATCTTTAAGGTCCCTTCCAACCCAAACCATTCTGTGATCTTATAACCTTACTTTAGTCATTCTGAAAGATTGATAATGGCAGTATTGAACTCATCTATATGAGGTTATTATAAAAAAATATATTATTAGTTCTTCACTGCTGTTTTCTAAAGACAAGTAACACCATAAATATGTCTAGGTCTTCAAATATTTTTGGCTAAGACTGAATGCCACAGTGCAATATATGTCCCTTATCAACATTCTGTGCTTTGCTGTTTTGATGGTTTCCTTTAAATAATCTTCTCTTTTTCCTCTTTCTTACATATTTTAAGCATTGCAACCATAGATAACTTTGTGAACGGCTAGACGCTTGTTTATAAAGGCTAGAAACGCCCCTCCTGTCATTCAGCTCATTCATATCTCATCATTCATCACAAGATTATACCATTTAACACAAAAATTCTGGAAGAGCAGGATAAAATATGAAATACTGACCTTTACGAAAGATATTCAAATCTACAGTCGAAATGGTATTACTGCGTGAGGGTGGCATCCCTGCCGTAGGGATGCAATAACTACTATCAGTGTCTGAGGCAGTGCGACTAATGCTACATGTTTCCACAGGAGACCGATCTGCAGCGTGGTGAGGTTTTGGTGGCCGAGGTGGAGGAATATCTGGAATAGTCTCCAGTTTTGAAGTCTGAGACAACGTTCCCTCTGGAAAAGTTCGTGGAATCTGGTAAGTACCTCCAGGTGTGGGGGGAATGTCATAGCTAATGGAGATGTGCCTCATCTGTGCGTCTAATGATGTTGCCGATGGGGTATTGAAAATGTGTTGCTCTCCTTCTGCATCAGTCCCAGATGGAGACGCTGCCTTCGGTAAAACATCTTGTGAGTAACTCCTAGGCAGGTTATAAAGGCTGCAGTCTGCCAGTGTCAGTCCAGTACGAGAAGGCGGAGAGTCATAGACACCTTGCTGCTGAAAAAAGCCATTCACAGCATGCTTGCTCGCTGATGGAGCAGGGTTTTTGTGGGAGGGCACATTATCATTGCAGTCTGTTTCAGAAGAGCTGGATTTTGCCGAGTCAGCATGAGATCTACACGTAAGATTGTATGATTAAAATGCTGATGAACATATAGAGAAAAACAAACATTACAAACAATAAACACGACGTTTAAAATGTAAACAACTGAGTCGTCTATCAGCCTCTTCCAATTTTTTTTTTTTAAATGAAATGCAGGAACTCAATTATGAAACAAACATTAGTACTTAAGAAGAATCCTAAGTAACTCCATACATACAAATCCATGCATATGAAACAGATAAAACCCAAGTGTGGAGCTTTAGCAGCAGCTAAACAATAAGTTGATGTTTCATAAAGCAAGTGATTTCCACAATGCCAGTTTGGAGCAGAGTTTTTTTGGGGGCCGGGGGATTTTTTTTTTTTTTTTTTTTTTTTTAAACCCATGCTGCAAACTAGCAGCACTTTAATGACACTGTTAAAGGTAAAAATAATACACTCAATCGTTGGGTTCACAGTACTTTCTAGTTCTAATCAGTAGGAAAAAAATGTAAGAGGAAAAAATACAACTGCTTTTAACAGTCTTAAGCGCACGCCTAAAGTTATCTACTGACCATAACAAAACTGGTTCAAAATACATAAAGGAGAGAGAAATAACAGATAAGAACAGAAACAGGAGGAAGATGGCATGCTCTTTTGGGCAGAAAAAAAAAAAATCCATAGTATGTATGTGCAACAGAGTGCTTTTGGCCTGAATGCAAGGCAGTGTTGTTAAATAAAACTGCACAGTAGTTTACCTTTGATTTATTTGGAAATTCCACATTTTATGGTGATACATGGTACTAACGAGTACCAGTAAACTTATATGTAAAATAAACACACTGAAGTATTTTTTCTTTTTTTTTGGTAAACCTCCCCAGTTACTTTGCTCCAGGCAGAGAAATTCTGTTATCAGTTTGACTCCTTGCTTAAATGAAAGTCAAGACAATGGCAAAATACTAACACAGTTGGAGTTAATGCAGTCCATACACTTTTTGATCAATCACACCATATATGTCCTGTTTTCATTACCACACCATTGCGTTAATTTATACATACATACGTAAAAATTTCAGCATGCATGTGTATCAATGAATAGCTCCTATACTACTCTTATTAAGCTCCATTAAACAACTGGACCATGCAGTTTACAAAGCTTCTGAGGAATAAAATACATAAAACTCAACAGCACGACTACCACAAGAAGCATTCTTCCCCCTTATTTTAAGAGGCTCTCTACCTCAAACTGATCACAACCAGAATTTATTATTCAAATTTCAATTTTTCAATAAGATCACACAAAACTTTCTTTCTTAAGGTACAGCTGGATTTATCTCTCAGGGTTCTGGTAACCTGAGGAGAAAGGAATCTAGTTTAGCTATTCATTTAGGTTTTCTCTGCAGTCATTGGAGAAATGGAGACTGTGTGAAACACAATCCATTCTTCTTAGATATCCATCTAAACCCAATGAATCACTCCCAAAGTGCCCCTCTGTCAGCTATCAAGGAAACTGATGTGATTAGCTTCGACTGGACATCTACAGTCAAGAAAAATGTCATTCACCTAACCAACTGGTTTTTGTTCTGTTTAATAGCAGAGATACAATCTTCCATCAGTCTGAGCAGCTTATGAGAGTCCTTCTTCAGCTTTAATATATTACCTTTTTCTATTAGCTTGTTCATAGATTTTTTTGGTGGGGGTTTTTCTTATTATGAAAAAAATAAATTAATTTTGTTCTGGTTACTATTCCAAATATTGATTTAAGTTCTGTCTCACTGGTCGGAATTGTTTTCCAGGTGACACTGAACGTTGATCTGAATTTAGTTTAACAGACCCCCAAAAAAGAAGAGAATGTTCTCATTAAGTATTTATCCTTGGCACAACCTATATTCCTTACGATGCTGACCATCAAAAAAGTATCTCTTGTTTGCCAACAGTTTACTTCCTTTGCCTCAGAGCTTCAAAAATTCTCTAGCGAACCACCGGAAGTTTAAAACACGTGAAAGAATAGAGTACATAGGACTGAAGGAACTACATGAGGTTACAGAGTGCATAATAAATTGTGAACATACTTTGTGACTAATAACACTCTGAGCTTAGCCCCTGCTGCAGCCCTTGACCTTTACTCGAAGGATTCATGCAGGAGTTCCCCACTTTCTAGACCAATTCTTCTAGTACTGTGGCATTCATTCAGATTGAAGTCTCAGCAGAAGTCATGTGTGTTCTACATGAGCAAGGACGGCAAGGATTGAGATCTGTATTTTATATGCTACAAAAATAAAGTGGGCAGTCTAGAGAAGCTGGACACTGACAAACAATTGTAGAACCAAAATTACTAGTTCCAGTTCACTAGGATATACTTTATAATAAAAAAAAATTCCCAAACTACAGAAATAAAATACAAACACTACATTTATCTTACGAAAACATGCAGGGGGGTATCTAACCAAGACCCAAAATGCAACAAAAGCACATGCACTATGCCAGTGCTTAAAGATTACCCATCATATGTAAAGCAACAAATGCTATAATTTTTAAAGTTAGGAGTTTTTTCTAGGTCTAAGTGAACGCTGCTTCTTTCTTGACCACGGGCACTTATGAAAGCAGAAGACTTTCAAAAAAACCATGGTGCATGAGGCAGCCAGGCCTATCATTTGCTTAGCGATGGCAACAACTTACATTTATCAATATAAGAGGGTATTTCTGATTTACTTCACATTTTAAAAAGTAATCTTTTGGAATCAACTTCTTAATCTATTGAAAAGTTTTCAAAATCTGATTTTGCAACACCAAAAGTTTGAGAACAGTCTGAAACAGAGGCCAAGAAAGCAGCTTATGCCAAAATGAAGACAGAGAATTCAGCCTCTGAAGTCCAACCAGTTTTCAAAAGTCAGTATTAACCACTGATCGTGACAACACCACCAAGTACAATTCCGAAAATCTATAATGTATAGTTGATTCATGTTACCTCAAGAAAATCTAGGTTAGGACTAGAATTCAGGGACAGACTTTACTTCTCTTTTTATTAAAAAAAAATCAATTTGCTTAAATATTACCTTAACAATTAGTTACTAAGATAAGTATTAATGGTTTTTTTATACCTCAGTTTAAAATGGAATGGTGGAAGTTGGATATAACACAAAGAAAACTCCTCAGTATTTATAAGCAGAGGATGACTGTGACATGAACTCAGTGTTATCACATGTGGGCATTACATATCTGCAAATTATGCTAAGTGGCCAAACTACTTCTTACTAAGAGCTAGGACTGGACACCTCTTCCCACATATCAAGAAGAGAAAACTGTACAGTCTGCTGACCTACGAAGACTGGAAATTAAGATGCACAGAGAAGAGGTGGGGTACTGATGCAGGGGGAGTCCAATAAAAAGCCTGCCTCCACATACTAAGAACTACTTATTGACAGACACCCAGGGAAAAAAGTTTTCAAGTGTTTTAGTCTGAAGGGTAATCATGCCATTTTTGAATATGCAGTATTTAGTTGGGCTTGACCGCTCATCCTTTCAAGCTGGTTATTTTCCCATCTGCAGGAATCAATACGATTGATTAAATAGAATACAACAAAGTGGCAACAAAACTGCTCTTGTGTGCCACCAATCTGGAATAGAAACAGCAAGCATAGTGAAAATGTGGATAGATAAACAAATAAATAAATAAATAAACAGCTCTATTTTCAGAAAACAGAAGCCAAAGTTACATACTTTTTCTGTTAAAACTCACAGAACACCATGCAAGACACATCTTAAACAACCAATATTTTCAGGCAAGTTAATGGCTCTGTGATTAATTTCTCACATGCGTTCCAAGAATGGCTACTGTTCACTCACTGCAGTGGAATCTTTTTACTTTCAAAATCTTCTAATAGCAGGTATTCCTGCCCTTCTTCTGAGAGAAAGGGTAACCCTTGGCTGGTTCATAAACATAATGAAAGATGAGGAAGACAGCATTTAGTATTTCAATACACCTCTCGAATAAGCCAGAACAATAAGGGTTTTAGAAACAGTCTTTGGCTGCATTTTCTTATTTAGGATCCAAATATGAATCTTAAAAATCTCACTAAATGCTACAGCTGAACAATGCTCTTTCTCAAGTCAACAGTGATCAGAGTATGAAACTATTTTACACAAAATACAGCATGATTGTTGCAGCTGCAAGTGCCGTGTCCAAGATATTCTCACAAAAGTATGTGGTGCATCGCATGACCCCGTAATGAAGCATTTCAAAATTATTTGTTAGTTCTGAAACACCCTATTTCACAGCTTGGATACTTCCTCTATGTTTCACAGTTACCCGCCTCACCTGGAAAAGAACATCAAAGCCTTGACATGAAATTCAGTGGTTCCTAGATTATCTATAAAGTAAGATGCAAAATTAGAACAGAAAATGTTTCCTCTGCATATTGACAACTTTAAAGTCTAAAGGAAAAATGTCACAGAAATAAACCATTCAAGTAACAATACCTGCCTATTTAATTACACATACTAAGCTTTGCACTTTACACTAAGGAAAAAAGGTTCTGTGACATACAGATAAATTGTTCCAAGTCTGGAAATTAAGAGGAAAATGATGCAGCCACTTAATTTTTCCTTGACCTGTAAGGATGTGGATTGGGGTAGTGCACAGAGTGTCCTCTAACTGATCATCTTAATAACATGCTAAGCAGACACACAAAGCTCTAATTCCACAGGAAAAGTTCTATATCCTCTATACTCTGGCCCAAATTTAGCAGAGGAAACTACTGTACCAGAAACATAAGCAATCCTTTTAGGTGAAAATGAAACTCCAGCATAACTATTATTCTGAATTTTCATTATTACAGCCTTCTTAATAAAATGACATAGCTATTTAGTGAATTTAGTTAAATATAATACACTAAGCCCTTATAATTTCCAAGTAATCACAATGCCAATGTTTCACTGTCTTCAAATACTCCTACAAAACCATCATTTATTTCAACAATCTCTACACTCCCAAAGACTTTGTTCATTCTTTTTCAGCTCCCTCAATGTTTTATCTCCATTGGACCTTATGCCTTACCCAATACCCAAATACCTTCTCTACTGTGTCACCAGTATCCTCCTCAAGAAATTTTGCAGGCTATTCATGGACTCTATACCTTGCCACATTTTGTGCCCCTCTTTCACAGTGTCCTTAGATTTTACTCCCTCCACTTAACCCACACCTCACAAAACTGTGGAAGTCAGGTCAGAAAGTCAATTACACATTACAACCTTAATCATTCTTAAAAACACACTTCATGTGCTGTTATTAGAAATCCACTCTGTGCCCATCCCTCACAGAAACAAACGGGCACTCAGACACATTTCTGATGAGTTAGGGCACTGAAATAAAAAAATTGAGATTTCTCTGCCAAGTCCTTCTGGAAACACCACCAAACTTTCTGATAGCTTCTGGCAGGAACAGTGACACACCTCTCGGGCACCATCAGCTTCTGAACATCACTAAACACTGAATCCTTTAACACTGAGAGAGCAGACACTGGGTTTCCCCATCTCTAGCAGGAGGCTTTGGGGCACCCCGTGCTGCCCATAACCTGCACAATCTACACTCTGGGGGAACTGTAGGCTCATTCCCCTGTTTTATAAGAAAGACTGTAAAGGGTGGATACTTTTTTACCATGTAATTATTAGTAAACAGAGCAGGAAACTCCTCAGGCACAACAGAGAAAGATAAAAATGCCAAGGGAGCCGAGAGCACATGGCACCGGTAAAACTGGCAGAGCATCAAGGTGTTAATGAAGAAGGCACCGCCACTAAAAGGTATGGCCCTAAGGGAGTATGTGAAATACTCATGAAAACACTTTCAAAAGAAGCTTTCCTGAGCCTTCCATGTACTTGTCTGCAATCACAAAGAGAGTATGACGTTTTGTTTATTTTTCTGCAAATACCCCAGCAGATTTTATTTTAAATTACTACAGAAAATAAGCTTGCCCAAGAGATTTATAAGGTTCTCCCACAGAATACTCGAGGCTGGAATGGATCTCTGGAGATTATCTGGTCCAGCTCTTCTAATACCGCTAAGCAAAGCCAACTTCAAAGTCAGGTGAGGCTCCTCAGGAGCTTGTCCAGTCAAGTTTATTTGTAGTTGTGGTTTTGTTTTGGTGCTTTTTGTTTTGTTTTTGTTTTTTTTTAACAGCTCACAGGACATAGATTCCACTAAGTCCCTGGGCAGCCTGCTCCAGGGTTGGCCACCATGATCCGTTCTAAAAAACCATAGCGATATTTCCCAGGTAGCTACCATAAATATAACATCCTCCTACGCAGAAGGTGCTGCATATCCATTTGAGTTGGAAGCAGCAGTTAGAGAAATAAATATACATTTATCTCAGTAGCTAAGTTCTCAATTCTTTCCTTAAAATTTCCTATTGCACACTTCTTTGGAGAACTGTGCAGGTACTCTTCATTCAGCAAGAAATAAGGTGTATTTTAGCTTGTTTTTAAATATCTGTTATTTGGAAAAAGTTAAAAATTCAGGATACAGAAATTGAGTGGTTTAAGTCTCCTGTATTCTTAGTTATTGTAAAATAATAATCTTCTACTCTTGCTTGAGAGTCTGAACCCTGTTAGTAATAGTTGACAAATAGCGTTTGAGGACTGCTATATTCAGTGACGTGGTAACCTAGCAGATGATAATAAATAACAGTGTGTTTTAGAGAATCCCTTCCCTGAAAACTTTAACTGGCAAAACTGCAGAATCAAATAACAGAAGGGAGAAAGGCTTTTTCTAGTCCCAGACTATACTAAACACATCAGATCATGGCTACAGAAAGGATACTTCTCTGCTCTGTGCCATGCATCTCTCAAAGCTACAATAAAATGCTTGGATCACTGCACCTATCTGATACTTCATATTGCAATTGCTATCCATGCTTCTGAAGAATGCAATATGTGTCTAGCACTGATCAAAAAAACTTACTGTTGCTGGAAAAAAGTTCAAGCATAGAAAGAAAAAAGCAGCAAAAATTACAGACAGCTTCCCCACACACATTATGTGCATCCAGATTTTCAATGACTTGGAGATTAAAAAAAAAAGTGCTTTTAGCAAAAACATTCTTGGCCTGTAATACAAATAAACGTTATTAAGGAAAAAACGTCACTTACCTCATAGGTTCAGGTTTTTTACTTTGACAGTTTATTAGCAGTAGGTAGTCTTGAGGATCTTCTTGGCCAGAAGAAGACTCCAGTGTGGGGATGTTAATAAGCTGGTAAGGAGGAGGTAGGGAAGATTCTGCTTGCATGGAAGGCGGTGATGTGTTGATGGGTAAGGGTAACTCAGCAGATGGTTGTAAAGAACTGACCGGTGGCTTCACAGCATCTGCAAACATAGAAGCAAAGCATTTTTTATTTTTTTTTTTCAATGGAAAAATAGTCTTACAATACTACCAAAAAAAATTATTAACAGAGGATGAGTAAAGTCAGAATTTTAATTAAAAATTGTAAAATTGGTAGACATAAGAACAGCTGGATATTAATGTTTCTTTCAGAATATTTAAATGTGTAAATCTTTATATTTTTTCAAACTGTAATCAGTTTCTTAAGTATGCCTTGGAAACAAAAGTTATGCCTTATTTAATGACTTATTTAATCTGTTTTCTGGTCACAGAAAGAACAAAGATGCTGACAGCTGCAGTAAGACAGTTAAGAACACAAATCTGTTGGTTTAATCAAGAGCAGACAAAGGCCCGTAGGTTATTACTTGAATATGGTAACCTGAGTCAGCACTTGCATGTATTCATCCCTTTTTGACCAAGGTCACGTCAACATTTGAGTTTAGTCACCAGTCAAGAACTCTCAATATCTGAAAAGCAACAGGAAAAACGCTGCTTTCACAACGGAAGATCCCTTACAAATATAAAAATAATGCAGAGGTACTATGGGTACCATGTTCCACTAAGCCCCCTCAGGATATCACCCAACTTTTACCATAGTGCAATAAATGAAGTAGTTATGGTTTGTTGTTGTTTGGTTTGGGGTTTTGGGGGGGAAGAGAGGAAGTGTTGACTTGTTTGGGGTTTGGTTTTTTTTTTTAAAATAACCTCACCTTTATAATTCTCATCTACTTCCTATTCATGTATATTCTAGAGTAACTTCTTTTTTCCTTCCAAATACATGTAACCTGACTATTAAATTATCTGGGAGACTAGAAAATATTGACACTGTCAAACATTAAACAAACATTTAACTTTTTCATTGTTTTCATGATACATTGACTAAGAACAACATAATTAAGCAAATTGTTACTCAATTAACAAGGCTCCCTTGTACTTGCAACTCACTGTACTTTCCAATTTGCCCATCCCAAGAATGGACACTGATTATTAGTATTGTTTGAATGAACATATTATTATCCAATGCAGACTGCTCCTGTTAGGCTTACAGGCCAGTTATGCACTACAAAGTAA